TCGAGTCTTAACCAAAAGTGAAAATGGAATAAGAGAATTGCCAAGCTGTCAAAAGTGTGCATTGACACCCAAAGAGAAACTGCATTGTGAGCTGATGCTGACTTGACTGCACCTTGCATAGCTGTTAGTGTTTATAAATGCTATGGCTGACTGTGCACCCATCCATCCTTCTACCGCTCTCCAAAGGGCGTGTGAATCACTCCAAAAAAAACGACAAGCATTAAAATCAAGACGTAACGCCAGAGGATGACATAAAGATACGACAAATTTCAGGGGAAGTGTATATGTTTGTGTATCCGTGGGGATGACTGAGTGGGGTGGAGTGTTGCGAAGGCTGACTGCTTGAAGGGAAACATCAGGCCTCCAATGAATACAGAGGGTCCTGCAAACAGCAGAGTGGCTCCCAGCTCTGTGACTGGAGTCAATTCGACAGTCATCAACTTGGCCGGGCGAGAGCTCCCACCGCCACCACCCCCCTCCCTCCCACTTGGCTATGTGGAATCAGGACAGATGACTTCATTCTGACAGGATTATCCCAAACCTGGTTCTAATATATACAGTACACATAATACATTTTTACAATATGACAAGCAAAACAAGCGACCATAGAGACGGCCTATTCCCCGGCACCGATCTTGGCTTTGTGCTGATCTTTCCTGACAGTATTTATCACCTCAAAGCAATGCACACATCAGAATGAGATTTCATTACAGAATCACCTTGAGACAGCCCCTAACTGAATAACACACTGCATTGTTGTTGCTATGATTTTATGAAGTGACTTTCTTGTGAATGGGCATATCTCTGCTAAAATGTTTAACGACTTCCCTAAGAATGACTCACTTCAGTAACAGCGGCGTGAAATCAGGCTACAAACGGCATTATCAACGACTATTCCTTCTATCACTATGCTCAGCACTTCTTTTTCTTCATATTTCTGGTCTATAATGCTTTAAATATATTTATATGTCACTCTAAACTAAATCTAAATGCACAGAGATTTTTTTTTCACACAATAACCGACCCATGACATGAATCTAGAGTCCTGCCTATTGTCACCTCGCCACTGGGCGATCGCTGCTGTGCCACTTTGGGCCACTGGCCGGCCAGACTGCGGAGGCACCTCGAAGTGCTGCCTCAGATCAGCCTGCAGCACTGGCTGAGCTCCAGCTGACAGGCTTTGGCCTAGTGCTCTAATGACTTACAGATTGGAGCTCTGTGGTATACATGTGTCAGGACAATGCCATGGGCCTACTGCAAAAACAGTAGGAGAGGGAGGGAAAGCCGCCGGCTTCTCCCTGTCCTGTCAGACAGAGGCTTGGCCCCTGGATTGTGTCACATCACGCTTCCCCCCAACAGACCACAAATGAAGGATGTGAAAAGCAAATGCGGGGAGGAGGAGGGGCATTGGAGGGGAGCTCTCTAACTTAAAAGGCTTTCATCCTGTAAACTGAAAAGACATTATCTTTTGACCTGGAGATGCCCTCCGCGAGGCTGTACACTATGGTGTGAGAACAGAGTGAGCAAAGGAGAACGAAAGAGAGAAAAGAAAAGGGAAAGAAGAGAGGATCGAGGCTTCAGCTGGTAATAGTGTAGATAAGGAAATTGTCTGGTTTTTAAACATTATCTGTAGTTTCTCTGTCTGAAGAATAACAAGTGATGCACCTTTGACATTATGAAAATGTTCAGCGAAATATTTATCAGTGAATTGTGAATAGTGTTTCTCATTTAAAATAGAAGGCCAACACATAATTACAATAAGTGCAAAAACTTTTAGGGTAGAAGATGATCTTTACTTTAATATGGACAACAAAGCTCTCAGTAAAGCAATCACTTTCCCTCTCCACAAGCAAACTACCTCTGCTAAAAGCCTGAATTGTTAACACGCTACATTATGCACCTGCCTCTCTTCAAAGCAGCCGTTCATGTATTCTCATTACAATCAGCACAGACTGACAGAAATCAGTCGCTGTCATTCAGCAGTAGATGCAGGAAACTGGCTGCTGGCCATGTACCTCACCGTACTGAATGCTGATCTTAAACACAATCCTGGATGGGAAACAAGCATAATCTGGATATTACACTCAGAGCATAGACACCATATTGACACAACATCTCCTGCCCGGGTGCCACATAATCCCCTGTAGTAGGTGGATGCGTGCACAGGTTCCCTTGGAATGAGGTGTAGTTAACCAGCCGGTCTCGTGTGCATTGCCACAAACGAGCATCAATTCCCCCCCTCCCCCCACCTCGGTGCTGGTGGACTATCAGCGAGGGTCCGACAGTGTTGTTCCTAATTACCTATTTCTCCACTCCTGATCCTGCGGCTGGCATAATTAGTTACCTGGGGCTGCAATCCAATTTGAAGTGATGACAAGAAAGTGATCCATGAAAAAGTAATAAGTTAAATCCAATTTCAGCCTGCCTCTAATTAAATGCACATGGAACTAATGAGTCAAACCCTACCATTTCACTGATAATGGTAATTAGCGGGGTGGGAGTTGCCGGCTCTCGTCGTTGTGCCACTGTAGGTGTGAAGCGCAAAAGGTAAAAGCGGCATGGATTCTTTTAATTACATGTGTCATTCTGTCAATGTAATTTACTGGCTTTTTGACCAGTCAAGTATGTTTAGCTGCTTTCCAGCATGCATAGCAGCTGTTTGTATATCTAGCATGATTAAAAGGCCTCTAGGCTGCTGAGTATACAGCGCAGGCATCTTTATCCAACGGCAGGGGTGGGCGGTACAGGGGTGAGGGGGCTTCGGGGGCACCCCTGCTGAAGATATAAAACCAAAGAGCCATTTAATGCTGATCAAGGATTCTGAGGCTTGTTTGACTCATATTTTTTTTCCCTTTAGTGCTCTGTGCAGGTCAGTTTTTTTCCTGGATGTTTCATATATACAGTGCTTCATTATTTTTGACTTGAATGAATTGGAAAGTGAGTCACATCTCCAAATGAGTAAAAGTCTCTCTGCACATCTCCTCGTGCCTAATAGGAAGAACACTGAGATGAATGGAGTCTCGTCTGCAGATCAGGTGCTTTTATGAGGTGTCAGCTTACTACACAGTCCCATAATTGTTGGATCATGTCTTTTGATGACCCAGTCCAGCTCAACAGAGAATCATTATCCAGGCTGTGTGATGGAGATAGTGAATGTTCTGTGTGAAGGAGGCTCCTCTAAGCACAGGGTTTGTTCTTAAAAGAGAAAATGACTATCTGGTGTTTGAAAAAACCAATGTTTGCGATATGGAACATAACAGAAATGCCACCAACTGAAAACGTTAAACTAAATGCAATGCACACTTGCACAGAATGGCCCAGTGATGTCTGCGCCTGAATACTTATCCTTGTGTGTGCACTGCTAGTGGTTGGGCTGGGTTTAATTAGTAGAATATGTAATTTGGAGATAAACAAACACTCGTCTGGACTTGTGGTTTTTTCATAATGGCAGTTTCAACTCAGCAAAATGTAGCATAGGACATTAGAGAGCAGGCAATTTACAGCGTTAGTTAGATACTACAGTGAGCCTGAGCTCTCTTCACAAGAACTGGGCAGAAGAGGGGAGTAAGAGAGGGGGGGGCAGGGGGAAAGGGCCCGACTCTCTTTTCAATAGCTGAGTGACAGCTTGGCCAAGCTCTCTGTATACATTAATAAATTAGAATTTTAATTTTGTCTTTGTCTGCAGGAGATGGTTTAGTACTTTACTATGTACCAACAACTGGCTGTATGCTGGAATCTGCCGTTGTGGTCCCCTCTGTTGACCTCTGCAGCACAATTCCCTGGCAGGCTGGGGAAACTGTTTAGTTTGATCCTTTCAACTTATTTGAATCCTGACAAATATGCACACAACTGAAAGGTCATCACAGTCATATTTCATCCTCTGGAGCTATTCCGAAGACATCTGCACAACAAAGAGGCTTTTCCACAACCTGACATTAGACCTAGCTGCTACAATAGCTCATTAAAAAGGGCCCCCAATGGGATAGTAAGGGTATTAAATATTATATATATACACACAGAGAGAACAGGGCCTCCGTATTAATTACCAAATATGCCCTGAAGTCGTTTGCAATTTCACACTGACACAAACAACCGCTCCTTGTTCAAACAAAGATATACATCTCTGAGGCAAATGTTGCATCAGAAATACAGCACTGTCGATCTTAAAAGCAAGATGAAAAAACAAAACAAAAACCCCCCGATTTTTTCCCCGCTGTTTTTTTCCCTTTGCATTACAAAGGCAGTTCAAATAAGTGTCCCACCACCTGTTTACCTCTTAATACCTTTGCATTCTCCCACCCCGTGCTCATGTCTCTCTGTTCCAGCTTTAAACCCTCCACCTGGAACACACACCCCACTTGCGGTCTGCTCTAGAGCACCTCCTGCTGCCAGAGGTATAGACTAGCCTCTTCTTTTATTTCTGCTGTATGCATGAGTGTGATGAAAAGAAAGCAAGGAAAGAACAAAGCCAAACTCCCTTTAGCGGGAGGAACTGAGCTCTTTCTCTTCTAGCTTTTCCTCTTTTCCACACTTTCTCCTGCTTACAAACTTCCTAAACAAAATGCAGCCAATAAGGACAATCCTGTCTACTGCGGTAATCTCAAACAGTGATAATCCAGATAATACTGGATGAGCTCATGTGATCTCAACCGGCCACAATGAGATTTTTCTGTGTGTCTGGCCTCTAAACAGAACCCCTTTCTGCGTAGTGCTACCACCTCCAGTGCTACCTGGATGACACAGGGTTGAGCGTGTGTGCCGCTAAATCACACATAATGTGTGAGCATACATAACTGCAAATGTTGCACTGCCAATATTAATTTCCTGTTTGTGAACTTAGACTACTGCTGTACTTTTTCTCGCACACTATGTTCTAGCAAGAGTTGCACAAGTTCACTTCATTTTTTTTTATTATCTGAATAACCACAAAGTTAAATAACCAAGCCATCAGATAACCCTGAGTTAAAATATGAGAGAACATCTGAGAACGACAACAATACCTGCAGGCTTTGCTGCTTGTCGTTGGCTTTGGGGGATTTGCGACCAGTATTTTGCTGAGACTGCAGTTGCTGTGGCTGGGATTGCTGCTGTTGCTGAAGAAGTATTTGCCGAGCCATTTGAAGAGCCTAGAAGAGAAATTAAAAAAGAAAAGTTACGTCCCCGGAGAACACTTTGATGCCTATTATCAGTGCAGACGTAACCCTTAGAGCAATATTCTCATTGCCGTATGAAAGACAACAAAAACCACAGACCTCCTTTCATGTTATCCTGTTCGGTGTCATAAAGCTAAGACTGGCATAAACAATGCTTAGATGTCAAAACAAATTCACAGACAGAGAAGACCAAAACAAGTTCAGCAATCCAGAAGAAATATTTATCTGTTGATAACTCACACTTACAGAAAACACAAATTGTCAAAGACACAAATCAGTTCTTTAGATCCTCCTTTAGCTCGGTCAAACTCCCCTTCAGAAAGCAAATAAAAGACTTTATAGAGGCCTCAAATATCTGTTAAAGGACACGGCCTTCTCAGTGGAAAACAAAATACAGTGCAGTCACATGTTTATTGCTCCAGCTACTCCCTTTTCCCTTACGATAAATAATCAAACATGCCATCCAGAGCAAACAAAGCTGGAGAAAGCTAGGGGGAAAAAAACACAGTGGTCTTGAAAACGGTCAGCGATACCAAGAAAAGCAAGCGTTGTGTTCCCACAGTGAGCTGGCCAGCCTCACACCTCCACCAGTAAACCATCTGGGTAAATAACTGGCCTCATTCTTTCCATGTTCCTCAGACGATTGCTCCCACAATTAAACAAACAGTTAGGGGGCGCATCCAAACTCATCTCATATACGGGCAACCTATTAGTTCTTCTGTCAATTTCTTGAGAAGTTTGTAACCTGAAAAAGTAAACGGTATAAGAGAGGGAGTAGAAAAACAGAAGAGAAAAACGTTATAGTCATGTGTGAAAAAGTGAGTGAAACTTGTGAAGGACTGTGTGAAAGTAAGATATCAAACAGGGAACGAGCAAACAGAAAGCTGTGTGTAGACAGAAGAAAAGACGTGCCAGTAAAGTCCTAATGCCAGACAAGTCAGACGGTACTTTAAGTCCGAAAGGGGAGAGACAGCTAGGGGTATGAAGAGAACAGCTGTGTGACCGTTTGTGTGTGGGCGTACGCGCTGACCCTCCCAAAAACACGGCTGTCCAATGACATCATGAGTCATAAATATGACCGCAGGCAACAAAGAGGCCACACTGCTGGCATGTCACCGTGCTCGACTTTTAAAGGAGAAAAATTCTCCTTCTCTCAGCCTATCTGTGTCCTTCTGTCACGTAAAGATAAATGAGACCAACATATCTCAGTCTGCATGCCTAATTGTTTTTTGCTTTGAAAATTGAGAAGGGGAACCCCCTCAAAACAATCACACTCATAAAGAGAGTGTCGAAATTCAAACTAAGAACAATGTGAGCAAGATTCACTCCCACACATGACGGCAATATTTACATTTTAGGCATCAACTTTTTTACTCCAAAGCAACTCACAATTGCAACTTCAAATCGCAAGGACGTGAACTTAATTGACACTCGGAGGAGATCGGAAAAATACAAATGAATAATAATATTGTCTCTTCTTGTCACGCAGACTGTAAAAAAGAAAAATAAATATTAATAAAATAGTGAGAATTGCTTTTGGGAATTCATGGAATCCCAAAGGCTTTTTGTTTGATTGGTTTATTAAAGATTATTTTATTTTTTTCCATCTTAAGATTTTAGTGGTTGAAAAAATTTTGTTTAAATTATATAAGAAGCTAAAAATCTGATATTTCACGTCAATTTCCTATGCCAGTTACCAAAGTCAAAAGCTTCTAAAACAATATTGATACCTTAAATATATTTAGGAAACGGTGGTGTTATCTTCAGTGTGGTAGCTCTCATAATCTCATAATCTGTTAGCACTACATACTTTAGGACTAGACATTCAAATGTGACTTCAAGATGTACTTGCGCTGTAATACCGATATGTGATAAGGAAATTCAAAATGAAATTCAAAAAAAAAGCAAAGAAGCAGTAACAAAATCATTCACTACGCCCAAGGCGTGGTATTACGGGCACATTGAAGAATAAACAAAGTGTGCTGTTTTCTTTTTCCTTGTAACTGATGACACATGCAGTGAAATGTGTGTGTGGTGTGTGAGTCTGGGTTTACAACCGAGGGTGTTGGAACAAAGAGAGTTGAGTCAACAGGATATGATAGGAAGTTCAGACAGTAATGGATGAAAAGATACATTTCTGGGAAGTCTTTCCTCACTGTCATCAGAGTATAAAGAAAAGAAAAGCGCAGAAAGAAAAGGGTCTTTTAGGGAAAAGTAGATAAGACTTGTGACAATGAAAATAAAATCTTTATATTTTAGAATATAAGTATATATTTATATCTTACTCAGTGCATTCCATGCATGCCAAATTAACCCAAGGCTGTTTAGTTGTGTGTATCACACATAAATAGTAATAATATGACTATTATGACTGCATTAAGGTGCCTCAGCTTAAAGCAAAGGAGTCACAGGCAGTTTAAACAATAACAGCATTCTGCCACATTGCATGAAACGAGAAAATTACCAACACAGCCTTCCACTTTTCACGTCAACAGCTTCATCAAATTATACTTCCAATTAAAGGGCAATAATTATGTGATCGTGCCCTTGAAAACACAGTCGATGATCATCTTGACATAGGCAAATTAACTGAAATCACATTGCAGCCCGACAGCAAATACGTCGGCGTAATGAGAATCTTACTTTTGACGGTCAGAGCTGCAACAACAGTAAACACATGTTGGCATAAAGAGACTAAAAGGTGAGCAAGCTGAGATGCTGTGTTGTGAGGTCAGCATCGGGGTTAGGAATGTTGTTTTCAGCTCATTTTAGAAAACCTGCTGGAGGTGGCATGTCTTTGAGAGGCCTAATACTGGGTTTAAAAAAATGTATTGTGTACCGTCATTGCAATGTTTACACACCACCAACTCCTCTGTTTCAGAGGTCTCATTCCCTTCCCCTCCACCTCTGGAGTTTATCTTCTTTTGATCTCACATTCAAAGGAACTGGATGCATCATACACATGCAAGAGCTGCCCCAGACAAAATGTGATAAACTGGAAACTAGCACGCAGACTCTGAATCATGGTGAAGTGAAACATCTTATTTTGTCGATAAGGGCTAAATGAGTGAGCTAAAAAAGTGTTTAGGCTAGTTCTCTCTTTTGTAAAAACAAGAGAGAAAAATTCTGAAATAATGTTGTTATATTTTTGGTTTTATAAACAAGACATGACTTCTCTTATGGTGTACAGCTGTTAAGCAGCGAAATAATCCCTGCTTGTCTTTGCCACACAGCAATAAAGCGAACATCTTTGGACTTTGGATCTTAAAGACGTCACTCTGATCGACAGTTCACACTACCGCTTCGCACCAGCTGACTCACAAAACAGGATTTCTCAAAACCCCGCTACGTATCTCCAAGATTTTGATTCCGTGATGATTTGTTATTCTTTAATGTGGAAACTAATTTAATAAGCCCATTTTGTCTTACAGGTGAAGTTCAGCTGGTTTTGTGGATTGAACCATGACATATGTGTGACTTAAAACTTGTACTCTGACAAACAACTGATAAACAACAAAACTGAAGGGGAATCGACACACACAGCCACTAACAGCGATATGGTGACAAGAGATCACAGATAGTCAATGACTGAGCAACTTCAAACACAATCATGGTTGGCGACAAAACTAATTAAAAAAATCTATTTTATACTTACACTTGAAGAGTCCATTATATGTAGAGTTTGATTTTTAATGCCTATTGGCTACTTTGTCAAAAGAAGAATATACCAAGCAATATTCACTTCAGTCACTTCAGTGTCACAAGCAAAGCAGACTACATGTTGTATTGTTGGCTACAATAGCACACAAATGTCTTCATGACCTCCAGCCATCAGTTATTAAAGACTACTGATGGCAGGTTCACTAAAACAACAGAAAGATTCTCAAAGTTTGTAAGTTATCCGACTAATGTGGCAAATGTTGCCATTGGTTGTGATGACATCTCCACAGGCCGCAGCTATATTGATCTAAAACCAGTAAACAAGGACCTGCGTATTACTGAGCTTTTATTTGTACTATGGCCTAATGCAGGGGTGTCCAACTCCAGGCCTTACCAGGCCTCTGGAGAACTTCAACACATGTTGAGGAGGTCATTTAGCCTTTCAAATCAGCTGTGTTGGACCAAGGACACATCTAAAACCTGCAGGACACCAGCCCTTGAGGACTGGAGTTGGGCACCCCTGGTCTAATGTAATGCAATCTGAATCCAAAATCTTAAATCTTAAAAGATCGACTGTGGCGATTAAACATGGCTCATGCCTTTGTGGTGGCATAAATGATCACAGTGTAATTTGGGGATGTGCAGTGCCTTTGTATGAAAGTATTAATATAAGGTCTGCATTTTCAGCATGGCACAAGCGGGCAAAATGCACTTTGAGTGGGCAGTGAACTGGAAAAGAACTATATAAATGCCATTTTGAGTCTGCACTGCACACGGCCACAGAAGACTATGACTGCAAATATCACTCATATGTCTTTGCTCACTATGGAGCCAGAAATGTTATATATCCCATGTATGTAAAGAGAAAAAAGTGAGGGGAAAACAGTGTGTATGTTGAATCAGTTTCTGCTTAAACAAACAAGACTACAGTAGTCCTATCATAATCTCAAACTGAGGTTCTTTGTCAGGTGAGCTTGTTACGGGAATAAGGACACAACTGCAAAGACAGACGCCTACATTCATACACCAAACATACATTCATTGTTTGTGAGTTAACATGAAGACAAATACACACACACAAACCGTAAAGGGAGTGAACCCTCTAGGTGCTTTTGATTAGAAAACACCCTCCAGCACATAACAACATTTTATCAGCAACAAAGACATTGCAATTTGGTATCCTTGTCATTTGAAATCCTCTTTTATTTTCCACATTTCAAATGTGTTCAAAGTTCACATCCTCTTCCCCATGTTAACACAACTTCCTCAATAAACAACAGGCGTTTTATCTGCATCTACTTTCACAGCATATT